TTTGGACACACATGTAATTGAAAAAAAAAATAGACCTCTTCGAGTAGGTAGGTCTGATCTCTTGATATTGGCTATTGATTTCCTCATACTATTCTCATTACTTGTTATGTTTTTTCTCAATTCTTTATGGCAAGATATTGTGACTTTTGTCATATGAGTTTATGAAATTCATTTTCTTGAGATGTATAAATTCCAAGAGAATGCCATTTATTCATCCAATCCTATTAAGTATTATACTTGAACATATATGTATGATTGAACGTATTTTTGTGCTTTATTTACAAGGGAAAACTACAGTTTTAAGGGAAACTCTGCTGGATTTTTTATAAATTTGTAATGAATTGTGAAAATTTACATGAACTTTTATTATAATATTTATAATTATATTGAGTCTTTAATCAATATTAAATAAGGGAATTAATAAAAATTGTATAGATATATTAAATAAAAAAGAAAAATTAGACCTCTTCAACTAGCTAGGTTCGATCTCTTGATATTGGCTATTGATTTTCTCATAATAATCTCTATTGATTTATTTTTTCTATTGATTTATAAATTTAATTATAATGATTTGCATGAATTTAAGTAAATTTATATATTATTTATAATTATATTAAGTACCATAGTTGCAAGTATATGGTTGAGTATAGAATGTTTTTATACTTTATTAAATGATATAATAAGTATGTTATATAATTTATTGCAAGAACGCTTAACTTCAGAAGCTGTACAGAAATATGGGGAAGACAGAATTGCATGGCCAACAACAGTTGATGCTCAACTATTGTCTCAAGTTTCAGGAGGACCCTCCAAAGATGGGCGACTTTATGGAATGCCCATTTATATGGACCTTGAGGAGCAAGGCGTTTCACATCAAAAACGTCCTCCCCATACTATACCAGACAGTTCTGTTCAATCTTCTCAACATGTAGTACAGTTGACACAGAGTATGACAGCACTACAAGATAGTCACCTAACATTGCAAAAGAAGGTTGATAGAATGGAGAGGATGTTTTGCATGATGCAGGGAGGAGGAGGGGTTGGGCCAAGTGGGGAGTATAATTAACTACTTTTTTCTAGTTTGATCTTGCGTCAAAAACGTCTTTAATTATTCTATATGTATGGATATGTATGACAATTAATCTTTAACATGTATGCGTTAGAACATATAATACTGCAATTCCTATATATATTAGGACATGCAATTGTTCCCTTATAATATATATTAGGTGAAAATTTATAATTATGTGCCTAAACTCTAAAACATTTTAATTAGATTTAGATGTTCTAATATAAATGTAAAGGTAGGTAAAAAAGAAAGAGTTTTTATTAGAGAAAGTTTTGATTATCATTTTTTAATATTATAATAATTTAGTTAATTAATATATTTTGCTAAAAATTGAATATTTTAACTATTACATCATAAAAAGGTATCATAGACATTATAAGAATTCTTGATATATTTATCATGTATTTTTATTTATATAAGATTTAAAATTAAATTTTCACTAAATTATAAAAAAAAGATATGATAGACAAAGAATAGTATAATTTAAAAAAAAATTAAAATCATCATAAAGTAGCAAATATATCATTTAAATGAAAAGTTATAATTAAAGTTTCATTAGTTATTTGGAGGGAATAAAAATGAGAAAGAAGAGTGCATGTGAGGTTGAAATTAAATTTAATGAAGGTTCATGAAAAATGTTAGGCTAAAATTAATTAATAAGGGGAGAAAATAACTAAAGTAAAATGATAAATTTATAAAATAAAGATAATTCTGACATATGACCATAAAAGAGTATGTTAAAAAAGTCTTATAAAAGTAGCACACGATATACTAACTTGAAATAATCTTTTTTTTAATACATATAGATTTTGATTTTTTTTTTTCTATAATATGATTCATGTAATTAATCAAAATAAGAAGCGGAGTAAATATGAAACATTTATTTCGGTCAAAACATATGACCGAAATATAAATCATTTCGGTCAACCATTTTGACCGAAATAAATGCTCTAAAGAGACCAAGTGAAAAAAGCAGGGGGGAGTGGCTGGTTGTGTGTATTTCGGTCAGCTATGCTGACCGAAATAAAGGAGCACCAAGCCGCCTGCAAAATAGAAAAAATCAAGGGATTATTTTGGTCATTTTGCTTGACCGAAATAATCCTTGCAAAACCGCCCTCCGGTTCTTCTGGAAGGATCTGGGGTGGGGGACCATTATATGATGTTACTTCAGTCAATCATTTTGACCGAAGAAACATTAGAAATTCAAATTTTGAGCCGATTTGACTTGAAGTATGGGCCGATTTTAACTTAAATTTTTTTCGATCAGTTTAATTGACCGAAAAAGTGGTTTCTTTTTTGCCTTTTACTGTTTTGGTCAAAAGGTCTGATTAATATCGAAATTTTCATTTGATTTGCGTGAGAAATCTGATTTTTAGATTTGAAATCAGATTCTCACATTTGTCATTGTTTTGTTTTTAGTGTTTTTATTTATCTTTGCAGATCTGGTATACATTTGTAGAGGAATTGATTTTTTGAATCAGATCTATTGTGCGAGGAATCAGATTTGAGTTCTATTAGGGAGGAGGTTTGGGGAATAAGTAGATAGTGATTGGAGTGGTAATAGATGATCGGAGCAATAAGGGATGACTGGAGTAAGGAGGGATGATCGGTGCTGATTGGGTTGCAAGATAAGAGGTGATGGAAGATGAAGATGGGGTATTTAAGGAATTTTAAATTTTTTAATATATAAATTAATTAAAATGACGTGGACTAATTATTTTCCACGTAATTAAAGAATTCAAACAAGAATTGATTTTGTGGCAACTTAACGTGTCATTTGGCACTTCCGTCGACGGAAGGACGAAATTGGTCCCAAAAATTGAAGTTCAAGGATTTTTTTAGTACTTTTTAAAGTTCGAGGGTAGTTTTAGTTCAAAAATGAAAGTTGAGGGACTGAATCGGGGATTTAACCTTTATATTATCATTTAGAAGGGCACTGGGGCATTTTAGGCTTGGACTTATCAGAAAAAAATTTATTATTTAATTAATTTCAAATTTTTTAATTTAATTAATTTTGTAAAATTAAAAATATATGTTTAAAATTTCATGTGTAATCTTTAGTAGCTAAAAAAATACCTTTTTGTAATGATGTCTTTTTGAAAGAACATATTTCCTTGACAAGTGTTTTTTTATAAAAACATACCCTTTAGTTAATGTTTATTCAACCTGTAAATTTTACCTTAATCTGACTTCTATAAATAATTAAAATCTACATTAACCAACTCACAACTTGTTAATAAAGTTGATCCAAACAAGTCATGAGTCAAAAATAAGTCAACTCATGAGTTGAGAGTTGATCCATTTTCTTTTCTTTTCTTTTATTTTTTTCCAAAAGTTTTATTTTCTTAATTTTTTTAATTATTTTAATTTTGAACTCCAATAACCCTAACTTAATAAATTTTTTATCCACCCGTTTCCAATTTTTGGACTCTCCACCTCCCCCCTTCACCTAAATCTAAAATCACCAATCTCCAGCCACATCGCATGCTACCTCTTAGTTATCGCATAGAAGCAATCATCAGAACGGAGGAACATTCAAGTTCAAATTTTTTGTTTTGACCCTAATGGTTGATACATTCAATTGCCTTTTCTCACCATCCCCAT